TGTACGAGGGGCGTTTCGGGGGGAGGGGGGGGTCAATTTTTAGACAAATTTTTGCGTACGTACTTATTGAATGACCCCTAAGAACTTTTCAGTTTTTACGAAAACATAGTGTATATAAAATAAAGGCTTTAGATTAAATTTTGTAGATTATATATATTATATATCTGTTGGCAACACATTTTCTATTTATTGTGAAACAAATGATTTTCTAAAGTTTTTTATTTACTTAATTTGCGAACAAAACGTATTAAAAATATTGACATTTGTCGGCTGACCCATGTCAATATAACTAAATTTATAATGAAATTAGTTGATAATTGAGAAACAATTTTATTCAATGATCTACATCAAATCTTTATAATGTAATAAATAATATTGTTACAATATTATTGAATTTCACTTTAGACTTGACAATCAGAAATAATCAACAAATTTATATTTTTATAAATTCTGTTTGATTTCACTTTAAGTGCTTTATTATACGCAAACCGATTGCAATGTTTTATGACCCAGTTCATATAAATCTGTAGTAGTATCCGATTTTGTTAATTTAATAAGTTATTATAAAATACTCGATAATTTTATATTTGTTGTAATGGTTTATAAAGAACAGTACATAATTAAATTGATTGATTAAAATATCAGTTATAATTAAATGTAAATAACAAACAAAATAACTTTAAAGGGGCAAGGAATTTAATGAAAACAATTGCAAAATATTTTAATATGATTTCATTTTAAATAAATAACTCATAGATTTGGTTAAATGTATATTTAATTGTACATTGTTATTAGAATTATATATTTATTAATTTAAAAATACAATGTTTAATTATTTTCACCATAGTCACATTTTAGTTTTTATTGAAGTCTTAAAGTTAATTATTTATTAACTAAAAAAATATATCTAATTATTTTTAATATCATTTTAAAAATAAAAATAAATTTTTCAATAAGTGTTACATGATAGTAAAATGTGCTAGAGTATATTGAGTAAATACTATTGAATAATATTGAAAATTAAAGAATAAGAATATAGTTTGAGTGAAACAACCTGGACACTTCTTACTTTATTGACTCTTATTAAGTCTCTCGAGGAAGAAAGCCTTCATTTTGGCCATATATCCCTTAATGTCGTCGTTTTCAAACTTATTAATCTCGTCATAATAGGGCAGCTCTTCAGTCAATCCAGTTATCCAAGTCTTAAAGTTAGGGTAAGGACTCAAATCCATGTCCAATATTATCATTGAGTTGGTAGAGGCCAACACAGATAAATCGGCAATTGTTAGGTCACTTCCCGCCACATATTTGTTGTTCCCAATCAACTGATCCAAGAGTTTCATTGTGTTATTGAAAGTTGTCTTATTTTCTTCAGTGGTTTCCAACCCCATAAATTTTGCCCTCAACTATGGGTTTCATTATTAGATTTATATTACAATTAATTACAACAAACCCTTTAAGACTTACCAATGAATCTCGGAGTGTAATAAAGACAGATAAGTCATAATTAAGCCAACGGTCCACAAGTGCACGCTTTTTGGGATCAGTCGGATAGAGGGGACTGTCCGGTGCGTATCGGTTACACAAGTATTGCATAATAGCTCTCGACTCCCATAATATGAACCCGTCGTCATCAATGGTAGGAACAGTATGAGCTGGGTTTATCTGAAATTTAATTTTAAAAATTTCAATTAATATTTAAATGTTTAGTAACATTATTTTACTGTTACATAGTTTTAAATAAATACCTTGAGATAATCTTCGGCCAAATGTTGGAATTGACTCAGATCAACAGTTTTGACATTTAAATCAATATTCAATTGCTTAGCCGTCATGAGGACTGCCCGACAGGGAGGGCTATAACGGATTGAGTAGATATCGATCGGCATCCTTACTGTGAAACACTTTTACTAAAAAATATTTTCCAAAAAGTTGTTAATTATTTAACAATTTAATGAATCTTTGGGTTGAGAGTAGAGCTCAACAACAGTCTGATACCAATGTGTGGTATAACTGAGTTGCCAATGAATTGACGGCTTTTTATTCAAACTCAGGTTATATAGTTTAACTAAAAACTCAAGGATTTTTAATCTTGCGATGCAATGAAGTATTGAAACTACTGTATTATCAACATTTTTTACCACAATAATTGTTTAATCAATATATCTGTTGTCAATACCGTTTCTATTTATGGTTTGGCGAAACAAACAATTTATGAAAGTTTTTGTATTATTTTATTTTACAAACAAAATCTGTTAAAATACATGTATTGACTTTTTCGGCTGACCCCTTATGTCCAAATTAGTTAATAGAAAATCTAATTCATAAACTATTGCATATCATAGAATTTTAAGCTATCAGATAATTGTATTAAATATAATAATATGAAAAACTTTCGACTTGAGTACAAATAATGAAGTACCCTAGTTCACATTTTAATCAATTCTATGCGATTGCCCTAAAGTGTAGTGTAATTCTGCACTCAGATCATTTGTAGTGCATTCCAAGTATATGATATACTGTATAATATACAGTGTATATCATACATTTTTATGTAATCTGTGTATTCAATCAATTGATCTGTAATGAGTTTTAATACGTTTTTATTAAATGTAAAGTATTTATAAAATATTATTTTAGTTTATAATTATATATAAAATAACTAAGTTGATAGTTGAATTGTTTGTTTCATTACAGTTGATAGAAATAACAAACAAAATAACTTTGAAGAGACATTTCAATGCAAACAATTAATTGTAAACATATTTCAAATATGATGTCATTTGAAATATATTTTATATTTAATTAATATTTAAATGCACATTGCTATTATAATTATATATTTTAATTTTACTATAAGTTAAAATACATTGTTTACCTATTATTAGTTGAGTTTTTAATCATTATTTATAATCTTTAAAAAATATCTTATTAGCTCCATATTAAACAAATTAAATTAATAATATATTATTTACTAAAAATATATAATTAATTTCGTAATCTTCTTATAATTTGTATTATTTATTAATTTATAAATCATATTTATGATTAATTGTTATTTTATAAATACAGTAAACAAATTATATAATATTTTTAAAAAATAATGACTAATAATTTTTAATTTTATAAGTTTTTTATTATTTGTAGATTATCATAAATTATAATTTGTCTATTACATCATTTCATGAAAACCAATGAAAATTAACTCTAGTAAACAAGACCTGGTTGCAACTTAATTGCAACGTGGTAGTAATTTGACAAGGAAAATAGTTATCACTTATAAGTCACAAATACAATACATTTGATTGCATTTAATAAGATTATTATTAAATAACAATAACGAATGCATTCTACAAATAATAGAAAATATACTAGCTAGTTCATTTCTTCTGTAATTGCATACCACTGTCAAATGTTTTAACTTTTGTAACAAAAGCTTCTAGGACGTCTTTTAATAAATTAATTTCATGATAATAAGGAAGCTCTGTCTGTAGGCCCGATGCCCACCATTTAACGTTAGGGTATTCGTGCGATTCTAACCCACAAGTGTCTGTCCTGTACGGGTAGTCAACAGAGACAGGTCTGCGATTGTCAGCCAATCTGTTTTTAAATACTTATTGCTGTCAATCATTGTATTAAAGACTTTAAAATAATGTCAGTTGATCCTGAATAGGTTGGGCACACATATCACAAACCAATGCATGTCTTAAAATAGCTAATAAAGTCATACCTGTATCCATATTAAGCTAACGATCTACCAGTGCTCTCAGTTTATGATTTTGGGAGTAGAGACCACTGTTCATTTTGATTATTTTAATTAACTTACAATATTTTATTAATATTTTTACAACATTCAGTGTACAGATTTACAGCTTTGTCAGTTATCTAGGGTAATTTAGGTGAATTTGTTTAAATATTTGATATCTCAGTAAAGTTAACAATTTAATTTTGGTATTTAAATTTTAAAATGTTTAAGTATGATATATTGCAATAAAATTATTACTTAAATATGTTTGTCTTAAATAAAAATCACCATGAGCTCTAACATTAGCAATGACAAAAGTCATTTGAATATTAAGTAAAAGTAATCAGCGTAAAATTTAAACATACAATAAGCCATTGTGACACACAGTGGCAACAGATTTAACATAAAGCCAAACGCCCTGTTCATCGGATAACCCAACCTATAGGTGATCCGCCCAACAATGAACATTAGATTGAGGGCCGGTATGTATTTGACAGTGTGTTCGCTATCCAAGTGCTGGACAAGTATGAGCTGTGAGACCATTGACAGCAGGAACTGTTCGCACGAGTTGTTCAGTACATTCTTAGGCTTAAGGAGCAGGTGTTCAGCCCCGGCCGTTGGATCCATAGCCGGACTCCTCACCCGAACCCATATGACGGCAATTAGACACCACAGGAGCCATAGGACACCAGTTGTCTGATACGAGAATACATATCCAATGCGGGACTGGATGTCAGGCAAGTCATTGACGCCGACGTTCACTATTTTGCTGAAATCGATGACATCGGTCAGCACCAGAACTATGAGAGCGCCAGCAGTTAACTGACCCGATATTAGAGGAATTGCACCCATCTTTAGATTCCTCATAAGTGTCTTCATTTGGTCCCTGTCTATGAATGTCTTATTTGGTGCCTCTTTGGGGCTGATACTGGTGTCCGTCACACGCACTCCACTCATCATTTTGGTCACCATATGATTGTCAACACAACTATACACTCATTATAGGAGTCAACTGTCGGACAGGTTTTTGAGATATTTATTTTAAGGAATATATTTTCATTAATAGTACCGCCATTTATGGATAATTATAATTCATTATTATATATTATAGTTAATATTATAGAATTATATATTATATAAATATTTTTAATAATAATAAATACTTGTACTAACTATTGTTAAGCTTAAATGGATTAAGATTATTGTGAACTGTTTTGAATGAGATTATCACATTTGATGATACTTTGTACAAGAATCAATTTTGTTTCACTATAAGAATACTGTATAATAAATATATTTTCAAGAATTATTACACAGAATCATGAATTTAGCTGTTAAGTTATGGTTTATATAAAACTAATGTACTCGCTAATGTGATTTTAGTACTTTTTCATTGATCTCAGAAATGTACTTGTTCACAGAAATGCTCATACAATTTTTTAATACAATATAAATGTAATTGTGTTTACCTAAAGATTAATGTAGTTTTATTAGTTTGAATTTTATATAAAGTCAATTTTATTTTATTATTAGTAATAAGTTTAACAAAAAAAAACTAATAATGTTTATAAAACACATTTTTATAACTTTTTATTGAGTTTTCAAGAAGGAAAGCCTTTTCTTATTTGCATTTCAATGTCTTTCTCATTAAAACTTATTAATCTCAGCAACATATGAAAATTCTTGGGTCACCCAGTTATCCAGGTCAGTTAGGGAAAGGTGTGATATGCTTGTTCAAAATTTTTAATATAATATATTATAATATATTTAACTATTTAATATAGAAAATTTGTCACTGCAACATTTTTATAATTTTATTTTTGGTGCATATATTTTGATTAATAAAGTTTGTTAAATACAGTAAGTTATGAATAGTTTCTCAAATGTTTTTATTCATAATGATTACAAATACAGCTCAATATAGCATTTTAGAGTTTACATGAAAAACACATTTTATTACTTCTTATTGAGTCTCTCAAGAAAGAAAGCTTTGGTTTTATTCATCTGACTCTTGATGTCATTTTCGTCAAACTTATTAATCTCCTCAACGTATGGCAATTCTGCGGTCAACCCTGTTATCCAGGTTTTAAAGTTCGGGAAAGACGTGATATCCTTGTTCAAAATTTTCAGAGTGTAAGTGGTGGCCAATACAGACAAGTCAGCAATTGTTAAGTGATTTCCATTCAAGTATTTCTTGTTTCCAATCAACGCATCCAACAGTTTCATTGTGTCGTTAAACACTTTCAAACTTTGTTCAGTCGGTTCAACGCCCATAAAATATGGTCTTAACTATTGGTTTAATTATTAGATTAATTTCATAATTAATTGTAACACAAAAATCACGTACACATGAATCTCGGACAGCAATAGTGAGCGTGTGATCAAAGTTAAGCCAACGGTCCACAAGAGCACGCTTTATGGGATCAGTTGGATAGAGGGGACTGTCCGGTGCGTATCGGTTGCACAAGTATTGCATAATAGCTCTCGACTCCCAAAGTATGAATCCATTGTCATCAATGGTCGGTATAGAATGAGCTGGGTTAATCTGTAAAATGAAAATATATAATATTTTGTTTGATAATTTATCAAAATGTTAAATACCTTGAGATAATCTTCGGTCAAATGTTGGCCTTCATTCAAATGAATAGTTTTGAGGTTTAAATCAATATTCAACTGTTTGGCTGTCATGAGGACTGCCCGACAGGGAGGGCTATAACGGGTGGCGTAGATATGAATCGGCATTTTCTTGCAGTAGATTTACCCTAGTAACTTTTACTAGAAACTCGGTTGAGTTTACAATAGAGTCAAAAATGTAATCAATGAAACAACTATGAAATGTTAAGTTTAAATGACTTGAATTCACTGTTTATATACCTAAATAATCTCATAATATATGCTATATTAGATAGTAAATAATTACAAAACTAAATTGCATCATATTCTTTTCAAGATTATTCAATAAAAACATTATGACGTGGTAAACATTAAGATATCAGGCTACATTTACTGAGCATACCTCAAGTAATCAATATACCTGCTCTTACTATCATTTCTATATAAATGTAATAAACGAGAAGGTCATATGAATTTTGCATCACAATAAATCGTTTGTACATGATATTATATATGAAAACAATATGACGTGTTTTTAAATTGCGAGCAATTATTTGATTGTAAATTGTGAGCATTTTTTATGTTTTAAATCAACAGTCGCTGTAATCTACAAATTTCAATTCAATTCAATGTTTAGTACTTTTACAAGCTTAGAGAATCATTAATAGAGATACAGATAAAACTCAAACAGAATCCTACTTTTATAAATAGTTGAGCACAATTATTTTATTTCATAATTATTTGTTTTAAAAAGAATACAATTTACAGTATAATTATTTTTATTTAAAAATAGTTTGCAATTGTTTAAAAATATAAATATAATAGAAAAATTCAAGTAACATTATTTGATGTGTACAGTATGTAGTAAGTATGCAGTGCATATGCATTCTGTAAATGATATAGTATATTTTATACCTTTTTTAAAAAAAGTTATAGAATTTGTCATATTTGTCTAATATGCCTGGAGTATCAAATTGATACTATCAATAAAGTATGCCTGTAATTGTGTCAACTCTTATGAATCTGTGGATAGAATATTCTGTATTCAGTTTATCATAAACTTTGTTTCAGACAATATTAATACTGAGTTTAAGTATTTATTTATAATTTCATATTAAATTTCATAACACTTTATATTTGCATCATTTGTTTGGAGGTTTCTCGACCCTTTTGTTTTAATAGTTTTTATTAAAATAAAATTATCATCTTTAAAGACAGTATTTATATGTTTATATAATTTTAAATGTTAAAAACTAAACACTAAATTTTAATTTTGATAGTTTAAATATAATATAATTTAATAAAAAAGAAATTATTTAATAATAATTTTAAAGTTTAAAGTAAAATATTATTTATTTAAAAAGTCAACAATTTTATATTTAACTGATTAAACCTACTATAAAGTAAATTTCACTTAACTTACAGTGAAATACGAAATAAAATCAATGTCTCGTAATTATAATGAGTTTTATTTACTATCAACTCATGTATTCATAAATAGATTTCGTATATAAAGGCAAAAGAAATTGAAGCGAAAAATAAATATTGGGTTCAATGGATAAATAAAACTGATGTCACT